GAGACTAAAGCAGGAAGTGGCTTACCTTACACGGTCATCAGACATCTACCTAAAAAAAAAAAACTCTTAAAGAAAGCAACAGACTGACCCTCTCGTGAAGAGGTCTCACACTCATTCATCCCTTTAACACATATTTATTGAAAGGCTGGCCCATGGCTCACTTGGGAGAGTGCAGTGCTGATAACACCAAGGCCACGGGTTTGGATCCCTATATAGGGATGGCCGGTTCGCTCACTTGGGAGAGTGTGGTGCTGACGACACCAAGTCAAGGGTTAAGATCCCCTTACGGTCATCTTTTAAAAAAAAAAAAATTATTGAGCATCTACTATGTGCCAGGCACTGGAAATAGAGCAGTGAACAAGGTCATCTTTTAAAAAAAAAAAATTATTGAGCATCTACTATGTGCCAGGCACTGGAAATAGAGCAGTGAACAAATCAGACAAAAATCACTGTTCTCATGGAGCTTACATTCCTGAGTGGGCAGATCAAGTAAATGAAATAAATAAGTCATATGTTAGATGCTAATAAGTGGTATAGAGAAAAATTAGACAGGGAAGGGCTAGCAGATGTCGAGAAGATAATGGAGCAATTTAAAATCGTTAGGGAGTCAAGAAGAGGATCACTGAGGAAGTTGCCTCTGAGTGACCATCTGAAGGAAGGAGGCAGGGAATGGTTCCTGAGGATGTCTGGGGGCCGCCAGGCAGAGGGAGGAGAGTTCGAGACCCAGCAAGGAGGTCACTGAGCAAGCAGAGTGGTAGCAATGAAGTCAGAGGCCTGGATGAGGGGCCACCATCACTAGGGCCTCGTGGGCTGGCCCTGAGGGGGCTGAGAAGCCACAGGAGGGTTTGGGCAGGACGACGTGGACTGAGCGCTCACCAGCTGCTAGGCGCTGGGTAGACTCTCACCTGCACCAATTCACACTGGTTGTGAACTCTAATGTTTGAGACGTGGACGACGGCCACAAAAATGAGCCCAGGATGTTTTAAATGGATTCCTCCTCCTTTCAACATTTGTTCTACATAAGAATAATTTATTCTGTGTTTAGATTATTTGGACCCTTGACTCCATTCCCTCTGACAAACACCTGTGTGTGTGCACACATAAGCACACACTTCCATTTATGTGTGTTAACTTGGAACCGACTTAAACTGTTTCTTTTGGAGAAATGACTTTTCATGAAAATGTCTAGCCTGTGGGGGGGCTCAGTTTCTTCATCTGCAAATGGGGGTTAAGAATATCACACAGGCAAAGGACCTGTCTGTCACAGCACCTAACATACAGCAGGCGCTTGGGACGTGCTGTCTTCCTTACCTATCTGCCCTCTATTGAAATTCTTGCAAATTAAATAACCATTCATTCCTTTTCACCTCCACATGACTTCGTACTTTTAGATCATTATGCCAATGAATATATTGGGTTTGGATGACTTCAGGTGACCTAACTTTGCTATTGTTTTGACCGCTAAATGAATTTATGAATGTGCGTAGGATAAATCTATTCTCTCCCCATTTAAATAGAGGTGAAGGGATTTTACATACTGCACTGAGAAGAAACACATTTACTAAAACAATAAAACTGAGTAAAAGCAGAACACACAAATATTTCATTCTTGCTAATGAAAAATGCACATATATTTATTTAGGGTATACACTGACATACTATATGTTTCTTTTTAATCAGGACAAAATAGCTCAGCCAAAAAGAGGCATATTGATATTTTTCATAGAAGCTCTAAGCTTTAAAAAAATGTTAATGGCATAAAATTCACATATAAATACTGATTTGCTAAAAGCAGTAGCAATTAAGTGTTTAATGTCAACAGAAGCTCATTATCTAATGAGCTGTTTTCAGAAGTTAATAATGTGATTAATCACTGATTGGTAAATACTGTGGAAATGATGTTCTTTTGTACTAATAGTATTCCGAGCCCATGGGCAGCCAGATGATGGGGAGACCTTGGCTAACAAGGGACCAGTAGAAGTCAGGGGGTGGATGAAATCAGAGAGGAAGGGTGTCTGGCTGGCTCTTCAGGTGGGTCCTCACCATGTGGCACTTACCAGTGGGGTCTCTATATTCCAGGGTCTGGTCCTCAGCTGTGCCTAGTAGCCCCCAGAGTTCAGCAGGATCAGGAGGACCAACTCATGCTAACCAGACTTAAAGAGATGAATATATAAACCAAATTGCCAGTATATTAATTTAAAATATGGACTGGAACTCTGGAACTACCACGGAGAGGGGACTTCTCCTAACTTACCGATACTCTGTTCTATAAGAAAACCTGTGTGGAGAGCCAGATTGCAATAGGAATAGTGGTAGTTTATGTGTGCATTCCTTCAACTTTTAATTGAGCACCTACTATGTCAAAATCCTGTTATAGGCCCTGGGGATACAGCAATGAACAAAAGACAGAAACCTCCCTGCCCGTTTGGAGTGTACATTCTGATGGAGGGGCAGGGGGTGACAGATGATGAGCAAATAAATACATGTATATCATGTCAGATGGTGATGTGTGCTTCAGAGCCTTCTACTCCCAAGTGCTGGGGGTGGAGCAGGGAGCTGCTTCATGGACATGCCCTGGGAGTTTGTTAGAAGAGCAGAATCTCAGGACCCACACTCCATATCCACGGAATCAGAATCTACATTGAACAGGATACCCAAGTGATTGGTGCATTAATGTTTGAGAGGCACTGAGGGGGACAGAGAGTGCCAGGGGCAGGGGTTACTGTTTTATGTACAGAGTACAGGGAAGGCCTCACAGATACGATGATGCTTGTACAGGGCCCTGAAGGAAGGGAGGGAGGGAGCCATGTGGATATCTAGGTGAAGAGCACTCTAGGAGGAGGGAGCAGCCAGTGCAAAGGCCCTGAGGTGGGAGCATGTCTGCATGTTTGAGGAGCAGTAGGAGGCCAGTAGGTCTGGAGCAGAGTGAGTTAAAGGACAAGCCATAGCCTATAAAGCCAGAGCAGTAACCAAGGAGGTTGAGGCAGATCACTTAGGGGCTTGTGGAAATTATAAGGACCCTGGCTCTTCCTCTGAATGGGGTGGGAGCCTCCAAAGGGTTTTGGGCAGAGGAGTGTTGTATTCTGAGTTTTTGAAAAGTCACTTGGCTGCTGTGCTGTGAATGGACCATAGGGGACAAGGGGCAAGGTAAGAGGGCCGTTGCAGTAATTCAGGTGAGAGATGTTGGTCGCCTGGACCACAGCTGGAGCAGGTGATAGAGAGAAGTGAGAAGATCCTGGATATATTTTGAAGGTGGAGATGACAGGGTTTGTTGATGAGCAGGATGTTGAGTGAGGGTAAAAGAAAAAGGTCAGTATCAATGGGAAGGTGATGGGCCTGAACAGCTGGCAGGAAGGAGTTGCCATTTATTGAAGTGATGAATATCTCAGGAAGAACAGGTTTGGGGGAAATCGAGAGTTGGGCTCTGGACGTATTAACTTTGTCATATCTGTTACGTATCCAGTTGGAGATGTCAGCTGGCAGTTGGATATAGGAATCTAGAGTTCAGGGTAGAAGTCCTGGCTGGAGATACTTAAGAGTGTCATCAGAGCATGGATAGTATTTAAAACCATGAGTTGTGAGATCATCAAGGGAGTGGGAGAGAAGTTGTGTGGTATCGAGGGACAATATCACCAACCTGAAACAGACAGTCACAGCTGTCGTGTCCACCGGGACAGACCTGCCTACCAGCCAGTTTACTCACATCTGCAGCTGGGGAACATTCCCCTGGCATGGACAAGTCCTTGACTGCCCTTTGGTTCTTTCTCTAGATTCCTGCAGACTCTACTTCCTTCCAACAACTCGTTCTCACTACAGTCCTGCTCTGGTTACTGTTTTCTTTACTCCAGTTCTGTGAACATATTGGTCCTTTTGATTGGGCTGAAGTGTTTTCCAGGCATCCCCACCAGTGATCCTGGGGGAGACCATTCCTCTCATGTCAAGGGCTTTTCCTTTTTCTTGTGTTTTTCTAATCCAACTTACCAAAAAGTAGAACAATACAGTGAAAACTCATGTACCCACCACCTAGAATCCAGTTACCAGCTTACTGTTTTTATCATAGACCTGTTCATCCATCCCTCCATTCATCCATCAATCCACCTTATTTTTTTGATGCATTTCAAAGTGAGTTGAAACATCAGTAGTCTTCAACCCTAAATGCTTCAGCATATCATTGACTAGAATTCAATATTTGTGATGCTTTTAGGTAAAATTTACATAGAGTGAAATGTACAGATCTTAAGTATATCATTTGATGAGTTTTGACAAATATATGGGCCTGTGTAACCCAAATCTCCATCACGATATAGAGCATGACCATCACCCTGTTTCCTCTTCCAGGTTAATTTATTCCAGCCCCTAACCCCACTCCCGCCCCCCAGATACACTTACCACTTACTGCTCTAATAGCACATTCCTTCTGACAAGCACTTTATTTACTGTTTTCTTTACTCTGTTTCTGAGAACAGACTGATCCTTTTGATTAGGCTGAGGCGTTTCCAAACTCCTCTGCCAGCTATTTTGGGGAAGATGCATCTACTCTTTATGTTTTATTCATTGCTCATTCAGAGGGTGACTTCATTACAATATTTAGGGTCAACCTGTCTCCTGCACACATTTCTGATTCTCATATTTCTTCTCTCCTCTTCTCTTTGACTCTTGGACATCACCAGGGGGGAAAATTGGTACTGGTCCATCTTCCTCCTCCTCCTCCTCTTAATAATTGTGGAGGCTAGCATGTGTTGAGCACTTACTAGGGACCACTCCAGAACACCACAAAGTGGTAGCCCCATTTGACAGATTGGGAAACTGAGACTCAGAGAGCTTGAGTAACTTGCCTAAGGTCACATGGCTACAGAGGCAAAGGCTTTCTGATCCCCAACCCTCTTAACCCCCACATCCTCCCATCTCATGACTTGGGGCCGGGGGGATGTTGAAGTCTGGGGTGCTTTCCTCTTCCCAGTGCTCCTTGTCACATGCTTCCTGCTGGCTCTTTCCCACAGCCGTGGTGAAGAACCCACCCAACAACCTGTGGATCATCGCCGCAGTGCTGGCGCCCATCGCTGTGGTCACCGTCATCATCATCATCATCACTGCCGTGCTCTGCAGGAAGAACAAGAATGACTTCAAGCCAGACACCATGATAAACCTGCCTCAGAGGGCAAAGGTACACGGAAGCGGTGGGTGGAGGGACAGGGGTCTGCCTGCCTCTCCAGCTGGACTTTTGAGGCCACTGCAGGTGCCTTCAGAAACATCGGTGCAAGTTCTTGTTCTGAAGAAACCCTTTAGTTTATGATCAGGATGTGATAGCTAATATACCTGACGCTCATTCTTTGCCATAGGTGCTTTCAAGTACTTTACATACGGTAACTCTCTAATCTTCACAACAGCCCTTTGGGGAAGGAGCATTATTTTAGATGAGGAAACTGAGGCACAGAAAACTAGGAGCTAGATAGACCTGAAGGGACCTTAGAGATAATTTAATAGGATTTCCTCCTTTTACACATGAAAAGTAACTCCTTCAGTGTTGGTAAGAAGTGTACACAGTATGTCGCAGAACTGGTGGTAGAACTAGGTCGGCAAAGGTCTGAATGTTTGTTCCCAAAGCTTATGTGTTGAAATCCTAACCCCCAATGTGATAGTATTTGGAGATGGGACCTTTGGGAGGTGATTAGGTCCTGAGGGTGGAGCTCTTGGGAGCAGGATTAGTGCTCTTATAAATGAGGCCCTAGAGAGCTTCCTTTCCTCTTCTGCCACGGGAGGACACAATAAGTCGGCAGTCTGCAGCCCGGAAGAGGGCCCTCGCCAGAATACAAACATGTTGACACCTTGATCTTGGACTTCCCAGCCTCTGGAACTGTGAGAAATAAATTTCTGTTGTTTATAAGCCACCCAGTCTGTGGTATTTTGTTATGGCAGCCAAAACAGACCAAGACTCTTGGCTCCTGATGCAAGGCTCTTTGGGGTGCATTAGACCCTCAAAGCTTTTCTTGTTGGAGTGACTTATCTGCAAAGGTTGCCTTGAAGGACAAGCTGCAGAGCTGTGGCTGGGTTCAGTGGCCCCCCCCCCCCCTGCCTGTCCTGGAGCCCCACCCTCCCTCTGTAGCCTCCACATCTCTGCACTGTCCGCCTCTGGTAACTGGGAGAGAAATGGATGGAGGGAATTCTGAAGGCTGATTTTCTAGTCATACAGCTCCCTTCATGATATTCCCCAAGGGAAATATGCTAACTGAATAACCCGGTGTTTAAATAATGCCTTACGATTTGCTGGGCTCTCCTAGGTCTGTCACCTCCTTTGTTCATCACCGCAGCCCTGCGAGGCTGGTTGTGGTCAGGGCAAGTTTTATCATCTTCATTTTACTGCCAAGAAACCCACGGGAAAGACTTCGGGACTTTTCCAAAGTCACACAACTAGCAGCAGAGGGTGACTGAGACCCACATCTATGTCTTTTCTATATCGTACACCTACCTGAACCCTGAAATTCGGCAGGTAGAATCCTCTTTCTGCCCTGAACTTCCAAGCTTTGTCTACCTGTGCAAGAATGAAACAGTGAATTACTTCTCACACTTCATACGTGTTGGAATATATGTCAGCCATGGAGATTGTCCTTGCCGGGGTCACCTTAGTCCTTTCTGGATGGTCACACCTTGCTTCAGCAAAAGAAATAAAGGTTTTTTTTTTTTTTTTTTTTTCCCCAGCTGCTTCCTCTTTCTCACATACTATCTGTATGGCTTCAGGAAAGTCACTTATTCACTTCGTGCCTCAATTTTCCCATCTGTAAAATGGGGGTGATAACAGTATTTGTGTATAGGTCATGAGGATTAAATGAATTAATATATGTAAATTGCTTTGAGCTGTGCCTGGTACATAATAAATCCTACAACTTAGCTTTTATTGTTATAAATACTTTTTCTTAAAAAGTATTTGTAATGTGTCTGCCTTTGAAATTATTGGAGATTATTTTGTTTTGATAATTTTACACTCATTGAAATAACTATAGATACTTCATGGTGTTGTATTACTGGGGTTGGGAGTCACTAGTGTGTGTCCAATGAACAATTAATTAATCTCAGGTAATTTTCAAGTTGAAGGTTGAAAGGCCTCTACCCTAAACGTCAGAAGAGTGAGAGACTAGTGTTGAGTCTTTCACCACTTAGCTATGTGATCTTGGGCAAATCACTGAACCTCTCTCAGCTTTTGTTTTCTTCCTTTTTTTGTGGCTGGCCGGTATGGGGATCTAAACCTTTGACCTTGGTGTTGTAATACTGTGCTCTAACCAACTGAACTAACCGGCAGCCCTAGTTTTTATTTTCATATCTGTAAAATGAAGACTGTGAGGTTTGTCCTGTTTACCTCATGAGTTTGTTGTGGGAATGAAATGAAGTATCTGTGTTTCACATGCCATAAGTACCAAACATACGCAGGATTGTTGTGATTAGCCTAATAACAAGGGCCACCTATTAAGCCTGTCTGCACACCCATCACCCAGTCACCTGAAGTATCCAGTGAATGACTTCTACCCAGGTGAAGGTTTAGGGGTCAGATCCAGAGAGAGTGGGTAGAGAGGGAGAGATAGGACCAGAGCCAGCTTATCCCTGTCACTAGGTTTTTGGGAAGCCTTAACTGCTGCTGGGGACTCTATATTCCTTACATACAGGCCAAGAGTCAGCACAGAAGCTGGGCCAAATATGGTAGGAGATGGCCAACCAAGATGGCAGGCTGCAGAAAGAGAGGAGAGGCCTTGGGGAGAGTCAACCAGCAGGGGTTAAATGTTTGGCTCTGGGCCACATAGGTCCCAATGCTGGCCCCATCACAGACCAGCTGTGTGAGCCTGGGTAAGTTGCTTAACTTCCCTAAACCTCAGTTTCCCCATCTGTAAAATGGGGACTCAATAATATCTACCCCCTTGAACTATAGAGAGGCTGCAATGACATAATTCACATAATGTGCTCAGTGCTATGCTAGTAATATTGAATGAGGCCATAATTGTGAGCTCCTTGAGGGAGGGGGACCAGTTATGACTCATCTTTATGTCCCCAGCACCAAGCACAGTCCCTGGCACAAGCCAGTGTTGTTAGAACAAAACTGAATAAGATCATCGGGGTTGGGGGTGCAGCAGGAAAGGGGTTAATAGGAGATGAGGCTGGGCAGATGGGTTAAGCTGGAATGTGGAGGGTTTGGGTGCTGAGTCACATTTTTAATAAGGGAGTGACATGACTAGATGTGGTTTTAAGGGAGATAACTTTGGAGATTTGTCAAGAGTGGACCTGGAAAGGAGCCAAATGGAAGAAACAGACCAAGGTAGGAGACAGTGAGACAATGGACTTGGGGAGAAAAAGGCAGCTTCCAGAAACATTTCAGAAGTTGGATCCAAATGGTGACCCTTTGGTTGTGGGAGGAGTAGGTAATTCAGTATTCTAGGGGCATTATCAAGTCATCCGAAGGCTCCGTTCTGTTTCATGTAGCACCAAGGAAGGGAAGGGAAAAGAACAGACACAGTCTTCCTTTAGCAAACTCTATGTCAGAATCTCAGTCCCAGGTCCTGGTGTCAGAATGTCACTGCTCACCATGTGGGTCAGAGTGTGTGTTTCAGAGAAGGAGGGGGCGACCACGCTTCCCAAAGTGAGTTTCCCAGAGAATTGCGGGAACTGTCCTTGGCAAAGCTACAGGAAACCTCAAATAAAGAAGCTTTGATGGATCTAGCAATAAAACCCCAACCTGTTCTGAGACATAGTAGTAATACTTGACAGGTTGTGTAAGACTGGCCCAAAAGCGCAAATCTTACTTGCTGGGAAGGCTCATCTTGCAAAGACCAGGAGACAGAATTTGATGCAATAACGCAAGAGGTTTTTATTTTCAGCATGCTGAAGGTTGCCCCGTTTTCAGGACAGAAGCGGCCCTGAGCTCTTAACTCAAGCATCTTTTATACAGTTTGGTAGCCAGGCTTTGGTAACAGGGTGGGTTGTACGCCGTTTATTGGCCACTTTAAGTAATTTTAAAAACCATTGGGCTTTTAGCTTTTGGCGGGCAAAGGAAGGACTGAGGTATTGACCAACGGTCCCCCCCCCCCCCCCTTTCCTCCCTTGGTGTCCAAAGATAAGGTAATCAGGTGAGCATACTCCCTTCCTGGAACAGGGTGAACTTTGGGCTCTTTGGAAAGTCCCTTCCCCCTGGCAGCGGAAAGTCCTAATCTTCTGGCGATGGAAGGTCTTAAGCACCTGGTAATGGAAGGTCCTAAGTATCTGGTATTGTTTACCAAAAAGGTTGGGGGTTATCTCTACCTCCACAGTTGGACTACAGTTCTAGATGGTGGATTGTTAAATCTGGCTGAAGCCTTCCTGTTGTATTGCTTAGCTGAGTCAGCTGCTGAAGGAAGAGCTTCTCATCATACCAAGTTCTGCTAGACTCTAAATGATGGGTTGAGTTTCATCCCCAAATTTCCTTAAAGAGAATCACTGATGTCTATTTCACCTGGACTGTGGTTTAGTAAAAGGCAAACAGTAATAATTAATATTGATTGAACACTTACTATATGCCAGGCACTTAGCTAAATGCTGAACTTGAATTGCTTATTTAATTCTTATGACAACGTGCATACACATTTTATCCTGTTTACCCTATTATTGTCTCCATTTTACAGATGAAGAAACCAACATGCAGAGAATTTCAGTAATGTACCCAAGGTCCACAGCTAATAAGTGGTAGAGTCAGAATTTGACTCTACCAGGCAATCTGTTTTTGGAGCTACCACTCTGAACTACCACCCTGTCCTGCCTCAAATCTGTATTGTGTTGCTTTGGGATGTAAAGCAGAATAGAGATACTTCCAGGAATTGTTTAAACAATGCCTCTTTGTTTTTTATTACCCCACTAATAGATGTCTGTTAGATTTTGCTCACAGCTGCCTTATTCACTTGGGATTTCAGACACTGCAATAAAAAGCCTTGCTAATTTCCTGGGAATGAATTATAGGAGAACCGGCCTGCATAAAGGAGAAGTCTGGATTAAAGAGCAATTCCATAAATTCTATTTCATTATTAATGATTGTACTTCACATGTGGTAGCAAATTTCCCTTTGTTTTCAGGTCTGTGATCCACTTTAATACTCAAGGGTAGTAGAAGTAAAGCAGATAAGTTTATCTTTATTTCTCAGATGAAAACATTGAGGTTCAGAGTTCAAGTGACTTGGCAAAGTCACACACGTGCTATTATATATAAAGCTACATGAGAGTGGAGTTAAAGGGTCACCAAATAGTTCTAGTCAGGAGGTGATACGGGACCTGTTTAATGTTTTATGTAAGAGTTGTTTCTAATTAACAGTATCCATTGACTCAAAATTAGTGGTCTAAAATCCCTGAAAGAATCTTGTTCTCCCACACCTATTTGCATCTTGTTTACAATCTTCATTTTTCTGAGCAAGTCTTATCTGTAGGTGTCCTGTAGCTAGGTGGAATGAACACAATTCTGATTTTGAAGAGACAGAAATAATGATGGGGATTTGAGCTAACTCTTGTTCATCAAAAAGCTGAGTTTGGTCCCATCATGTGGACTTCGTGGCCTTTCTTCTTGTAAAGCTGACATTAGAGTCACACTTCTCTAGAAGTACCGATATGATGCAAATCTTTTTCCTCTTTGCAGCCTGTGCAAGGCTTTGATTATGCCAAGCAACACCTGGGCCAGCAGGGCGCGGATGAGGAGGTCATCCCTGTGACTCAGGAGACAGTAGTCCTCCCGCTGCCTGTTAGAGATGCTCCTCAGGAAAGGGACATTGCTCAGGACGGAAGCACCATCAAGACCGTCAAGTCCACCGAAACCAGAAAGAGGTAGGCACGGGGCCAACTTCTGCCTCTCCGAGTCAGCAAGAGAAATAATTGATGGTGAGAGCAGCTGAAGCCCTCAAGTTAATTCCATTGTTCTCTAAACATTCCCCTCCATGCTCGTTTCGAATATTTGAAAAGGAGACTAAGGGAGATGACAGGAATCACAATACCTGCTCCATGTGAGCCACTTTGCAAGGTTTTATGTGGCTAATCAACCACAGCAGGAGCGATTGAGCTCTTATACTTATTTACTATAACAAATTTAGCACTGATGTCGCACTTATCTTAAAAGTAGTGCCTTTGATACAGTATAGGTGTGTGTTTTATCTGTCCGTTTCTCAGTAGAGTTTCTGATTTCAGTCAAAGCCATTTATTGAGTTTTTACTATGTACAGAGCATTTTGACAGCCTTTACGAGAACTATGAAAATATATCAGATTGATTCCTGACCCCAAGGATCTCAGGTGGAGGAGACAGAGAGATAAATAGCTGGAACACTGAGATTGATGTGTGGTGCCCACAGTGGAGTCTCAGTAAAGTGCTGTGGAAAAAGAGCGAAGGAAGAACTTAATTCTGACCAGGAAAAGCATTGTGGAGAAGGGCATGTTTTAGCTGAGCCATAAAGTGTGGGATGTGAATAGGTGGAAAGAGATAAAGGCATCCAGTCTGAAAGAGCAGGGAGAGAAGAGGGACAGGTATGTTCTCTTCATGGTGAGTGTCTCTGGAGTTCAGAGTTCACAGTGGTTGGGATGTAGTGGAGGATAAAACCAGAAGGTAGATTAAAATTGTGGAAGGTCTTGACTGGAAGGCCAAGTCATCTGACCTTTATTCTCTAGGCAATGGGAGGCCACTGCAAGTTCTTTAGGAAGATGGTGATGCCCAGCTTGTATTTTAGAAGAACTACTCTGATGGCAATATGGATAGTAGATGGGAGAGGTTGGGTCAGAGGCCAAGAGACTCATCATGAGGACTTTGCAATAGCCTCATGGAGAGGTAATGAATCCCATGGCTGGCTAAAGCAGCACTCTTGGCCACCCCCTTCTCCCTTGCCTGACACCACATGGAGGTTGGAAAAGCGCCATCCTCCCTGCCTCTTTCCTTCTTTCCCTTCCTTTACCAGGCACTGGAGATACTGCACTGAACGAGACAAAGCTCCTGCTCTCAGGGAACTTATAATCTGGTGGGGAAAGGTAGACAATAAGCAAATAGAGAAACAGAGAAATAGATAAGATCTATTTTTAGATCAGGAGGTGATAAGTACGAAAAAGAAAACTAAAGCACAGTAAAAGGATAGAGATGGAGTGGTGCTGTTTTAGACAGGAAGCCAGGGAAGACCTCTCTGATGAAGTGACTCGAGAAAGACCTGATTGAAATGAGGTGTAAGCCATGAGGCTGTCAGCAGGAAGAATGTTCCAAGCAGATGAACAGTATGTGCAAAGCCCAGAGGAGGGAACTTCTTGATGTGCTTAAAGAAGTCCAAGGAGGTTCACATGAGCTAGGGAGGAAGTGGTAGCCGATGAGTCAGAGAACTTGCCTGAGGTTGATCGTATCAGGTTTTACAGACCAAAGTCAGGTCTTGGAATTTTACTGTGAGTATGTATTCATTAGAGGGTTTTGAGAAGAGCAAGAAATAATATGACTTTCAGTTTTAAAGGCTCACTCTGGCTGTTGCAGGGAAGCAGAGTAAAAGCAGGGATACCCATTAGAGGCCACTGCAGTAATCCAGGTGAGAGGCGGTGGTGTAGACCATGGTATGGTGGTGTGAGAAGTGGTTGGATTTTAGAGATATTTTGAAGGAAGAGCTGATAAGATTTCCTGCAGATTGTTGTGGGATATGAAAATAGAAAGGAGTGAATTTGCCATTTATTGTGTTGGGGATGACTGGCACGGAAGTTTGCAGGGGATGATTAAGAGTTCGAATGTGAGCATGTTAAGTTCGAGATGCTTATTAGATGCTTATTATTAGATACGTAAGTGGGGATGTTGAGGACTCATTACCATATGAGTCTGGAGTTCAGAGGAGAAGTTCATAGTAGAAATATAAGTGTCAGACTTATCAGTGTTTAGTGATTCTATGAGACTGGAAGGGATTGCTTAGGAGAGTATAAATAGAGAAGAGAAGAAATCCAAGAACTGAACTTTGGGACATTGCCATGATGAAGTTTAGGAGAAGAGGAAGAATCAGCAAGGAAACTGAAAAGTGTCAGGAAGAAAGGATAGTAGAAATATAAGTGTCAGACTTATCAGTGTTTAGTGATTCTATGAGACTGGAAGGGATTGCTTAGGAGAGTATAAATAGAGAAGAGAAGAGATCCAAGAACTGAACTTTGGGACATTGCTGTGATGAAGTTTAGGAGAAGAGGAAGAATCAGCAAGGAAACTGAAAAGTGTCAGGAAGAAAGGCATGAAAAGAGCAGAGAGATTGGAATCCAAGAAGCCAAGAGAAGGAAGTAGTTTGAGAAGGAAGGAGGGATCACCTGTGTCAATACACAAATGTTGTACTGTAATCAAGCAACAAGGCTATGTGTTTTCTTCCAGGAGCTCGAATGGGAGGCTGAATTCCAGCTTGTGCAGGAAAAACGTTAGGGCATATGGATTAGTTATCCATTGCTCCATAACAAACCACTCCAAAGCTTAGTAGCTTAAAACAACAACATTTCTTCAGCTCATGATTTTGCTGGGTCAGCAGTTTGGGCTGAGCTCAGCCAGGTGGTTCTTCTGGTCTGAGCTAGGCGTGGCTGATCTTAGTGGGGCTTACTCATGCATCTCCAGTCAGCTGATAGAACAGCTGGGCTAACTTCTGGATGATAGCCTTGTCTAGCGTGGCCCAGGTAACTGGGGCCTCTCCCCACATGGTCTCTCATCCTCTAGCAGGCTAGCTTTGGCTTTCTCACAAGGCAGTTCCAGGGTTCCAAGGGCAGGAAGAAAAACAGCCCCAAAGTGCAAGCATTTCTCAAGTCTCTTCTTGTGTCATGTTTGCTACTATCCTACTGGTCAAAGCTAGTGACAGGGTCAAGTTCAGAGGCAGTGTGCGAGAGGACTGCCTAAGGGTTGGTTACAAAGAAGTATGAATAAATTGGCACCATTACTGCCGTGGTCTACCCTAGCATGAAATGTACAAAACCAGATGAGTTATCTGAATTTACTTGTTAAGTAGAATTACCTAGAGCAATTATTCTCATTATGTTCTTTGCCAGATACAACAAAGGCATATTAACAACTTATCACCTATTTAGAAGATACTGAAAATAAATAAATAGAATTACTAAAATTAGAATATTAGCATAGCACCTCCAAGAAGAATAAAAAAATTTTTCTACACATTCTAGTTGAGTAATTTAAATTGTACAAAAATTTCTTTTGCAAAATTGTTTTTTAGAACAAACGTTTCTTCTTAGATTAGCAAGGATTCTACTCTTGATAATCAAATTCAATTACTTCCAAGTTTTTATTAAGAAATATTAGCCTATGAAACACATACAGAAAAGACAATGTCTGTATTGCTGAATGATTTCTACATTTGCTTCATAATTTTACCATAAAAATATAATTTTACTAAGTGCTGGCTATCTCATTGCCCAAGTTGTAGAAGAAACCTCACCTCTGTTCAAGTCCAGCTGACCATGGGAGTCTCTGAGCATTTGGGAGATTTTAAGACATCAAACCCAAGCGCAAACTCATGATAAATATTATTTTTCGGGCTTCCCCATTTTGCCACATTAGTTTCCTCATTCCTCCTAAATAAGTACTCCCTGACCTTTCAGACTAGGTCTGTTAGATTATCCAAAAAGTTTCACAAGTGAAAAATAGGGGAAACCAGTGATTTGACAGTTACTAAGATACCTCACTTTTTAAAAATTATTTTTAGACAGAAATCTGAGGATTCAGTCACTTCCAGATAGCCAGATGGGTCTCATGGGTCCTTTTCTTCCAGTCTAGGGTCTTGGTGATACTATTTTGTTGGTCTGTGACTGGGA